CCCCGAGCCTTTCCGCATCGGCGAACACACAGCTCCCAGCCGTTGGTGCCCTCTTCTCGGACTGCCTGGCATAATCCAGGAGGCGGCTGACACAAAGGGACTTTCCATCCCTCTCCTCCCACTGCCCAGATCGGATGATCTAGCGGGAAGGTTTGGCTCCACCCCGGCTCGCCACCCTGACCCCATCTGGCCTCGTTTTCCAGCAGTGACATCCTACTGGAACGAGGCTGCAGCCAGACCTGGTAAGCTGAAGGCGTCCGTCTCCACCTTCGCTCCCATCACCAGAGTGGAGGGGTTTACTGAGCGGAATTTTCCCTCGGTCGTCAAACACCCCCCACCCCCCGGAGGCAAGCCTTGCGGAAGCACTTAGAGCAAAAGTGCCCAGGTTGGACCAACGACCTGTCCCTCCAGGGAGACACGACCAAACGGTGACGTCACTCTCCAACCGAGCCCACCAGTGTGCTTTCCAGGCGGCCGCAGCGAACAACAATGTCGCACACTGCTGGCCTACAGCATTTCCAAAAGGCTGGAGGACACAGACTTGCCTGAGGAGATGAAGAGCACGCTCTGCAAAGTGTCTGACATCATCCTCAACCTGGGTGCCTCCTCTGCGATCTGCTTGTCTCGCATCGCTGCCTGGGTGACGATGATCCAGAGGTCCACCTGGCTCTGACTCCAGGCAGGAGGAGCAATCAGGAGTCACCCAGAAATAGGCCAGCACCTTTGGGTCTGGCCGCTGAGAGGATCCACTTAGAGAAAATGGGTCTCTCTCAAGAAGTGGTGTGCACAATCCAAGACTCGCGAGCCGCTTCCACCACAGCGCTGTACACATCAAAGTGGACAGCTTTTCAGCGCTGGTGCACAGTGAAAGGTGTAGAGGCCATTTCATGTCCACTAGGTGGCGTGCTGTCCTTTCTGCAGCAGCTGATGGACAGAATTGTAGCTTTCAGCACAATTAAAACTTATGCTGCGTCTATTTCTTCTTATCACGAGAGCTTCGGTGACAGAACAGTTTTTAATCACCCGCTGATGAAATGTTTCCTAAAAGGTGTACGGAGACACAGACCGGTGTCATGCCCACTAGCTCCACAGTGGGAACTAATGATGGTTCTACGAGCTCTGATCAAAGCTCCTTTCAAGCCTTTAGATCAGGTGTCAGTTAAATTCCTGTCACTTAAAACAGCCCTGCTGTTGACTTTGACATCATCAAAGAGAGTGAGCGATTTATCTGCGCTCTCTGCTGCCCCGTCGTGCCTCAGGAGTCAAGCTGATGGCAGCTCAGCTGCGCTGAGACCTAACCCAACTTTCATACCAAAAAACTTCACGAGCTCATTTAAATCAAGAATGATAACATTGGAGGGGGTTTTATTCCCTCACAAATTAGAGGAGGAAGCATCATCTCATCTTCTCTGTCCCATGCGCGCGCTGGCATGTTACATAGCACACACGGCCACACTGTGTCAAACTCAGCGTCTGTTTGTGCATTATAGGGACACCTCTGCAGGTCGCCCGTTATCTACTCAGCACCTCTCACACTGGCTGTGTGAGGCTATTTCTGAAGCTTACAGGGCATCAGGATTGGAGCCTCCAGAGAACCTCAGACCTCATTCTACCAGAGGAATTTCATCCTCTACAGCTTTGCATGGAGGAATGACAGTGGAGGACATTTGTACGGCGGCCGCTTGGGCATCGCCTTGTTCATTTATTCACTTCTATCTGCGTGATGTTTCTGTTTTCTCCATGACCCATTCTGTTCTCAGTGTTCTAACAGAATGAATCGTACTTGTTTCATGGAATTTCGTTTAAACTCACATCTGACTGCATGCAATTACAGTGTGAGACATTTATTAAGTCACAAGTTCATGACTGCTGTTTTTTTTTATTGTTACTAATCAGTTCATGACTACTGTTGCCAATCAGTTCATTTGATTACTAATCAGTTCATTTGTTATTAATCAGTTCATATTGAAGAGCTGTTGATCTGCTCTGCTCGCTGGTACACAGTTACAATTTGTAACCTCTGTTCTTTTCCATTCTCAGCAGCAGGACTGCTTTCAGCCTCCCCTTTTTTCCCCGTCAGAAACCTTTTTCTCTCCGGGGCGCTCCTGTGCATGGAACGCGTAATTACGCAACGTGCTCCTGTGCATGAAACGTGTAATTACACATCGCATAATTATGCACACAGAAGGCTGAGTTGATGGAAGGTTTTTGTTGGTGCAAGCGAGCGCTTCCTATTGTGTCTGAATGGACCCAGTGAGGCATAGACTACATCCTGCTTCACCTTTAATCCACTAGCGATAGCCTTAAAGGGCAAAGCCTATACAAAATAGAACGTTGGTTACGTACTGTAACCCCAGATTCTATGAGTATAGGCGCAGCCCTTTAAGCTCTGGGCCTCACTAGTTCCTAAATGGCTGAAGAAGAAAAAAAAGCTCTTTGGGAGCTGATTACCCGGTCTCGCCATAATTTATACGGACCGGGGGTGAGGCCCACACAGCAGGTGGGCTTGGACTAAAGTTTTTAGTGCTGCGCGTGAAGGGATAAACCCACTAGAGATAGCCTTAAAGGGCTGCACCTATACTCATAGAATCTGGGGTTACAGTACGTAACCAACGTTTATTATACTTCAACTGTTGGTGGCTGCTGAAGTTTCCCTGTTGAAGCTGAGGAGATTTTCAACATACAAGTTCAATTTTAATTCAGATTTGATGCTTCATAAAGCGTGAACTGCAGATAGTCTAAGCAACTTAAAACTTCTGGAAAATGTTGTGTTTATACCTCCAACATTGAATTTCAGCCAATTTTGTAAAAAAAAGGTTTTATACTTTGTTTTTTTAATTCAACCTTTTTTTATACAGGTTAGTTCCCATTGAGCCTCGATGACTCATTTACAAGAAAGACCTGTTATATACAGACATACAAATTAGATAAAGAAAAGAGAACACAAGAGGGTGGAGGAGGTAAAATAAATCATGTCTCACACCATGTCCTGGCCGGATCACAGTGTGAAAGTTTAAAAAAAAAAACATCACAACATAAACAGCAACATACAATGACATCATAATTCATTTATGCATGAGGAGGTCATCAAAGGCGGTGAGTTGTCCGTGGACATTGCCAGAAAGTTCTATAGTTCTGATTAGATTGTACAATGTCTATCTGCAGCTCAGTTCTGAAAAGGCCCACAGATGTCCTTGGAAGAGGGAGGAGGAGGAGGGGAGGAGCAGCAGAGCATCATTATTCACATAACCTCTGGGAGAATTTGAGATAACTGGCCTATTCAAGGCCAAGCAGGGGAGCCAGATTTAATAACAGCAATTGTTTAAGGACAAGCAGACTCTGCTTAATTTTTTTTAATGTCTGCCTTCAAAAGTTCTGCTGGTACTTCTCAATGGCGAATCCAAAACAGCCAGATATGTAGTCATTTCGCCAGGCCGTGCTTGAAGCCTTCCACAAGTCGATTCCTTCATGCCAGCGAGCTCCAGAAGTCACAAGTTGCCTGTGATCCTCAGAAATCACATCCATCTTATGGTTTAGCTCAAAAAGCATCTGAGTTTGGGCGCTTGAAGCGCGGCACATTCTTTCATACATGGCAGCTTCAAAATTGCCTGATCCACTGCCATTGTCTTCCGAATTTGTTGATAAGCCAGAAACCCGCCGATTCCAAAAAGCAGAAATCCCACTATCATAAATCAAATTATGTATGCATCATCTACGTCCTCAACGGACATTACAGAGACACACCATCTTCCAATGGCCCCAAGAATCCATGGTGTATCCCAAAGCGAATGTCCCTTCAGGGCATGAGGGCTCTCCTTCTTCCTGTCTTCTCGTCAAGAAAATGTTATCAATTGCATTGTGAGATCAGCTGACCAGATCCATGATTTACAATTCAGAAGATATGTAGAGAGGCTCTGAAAAAGATTCACAGGACAAGAGAGCCAAAAGCAGGAGGGAGGCAGGAGTGGGTGAAGCGATCACCTTTGTCAAGAGTAAGCAGGAAGTGTAAGTGTATTCTAAAAGCATTTGCATGAATCCTGTGTGTAAAATATTTCAGAATGTTTTATCTCTTTAGCTGGTAATGGTCATCTTGTGCTTGATGATTCTGGTAGTTTTAAACAGAAGCAACTGAACAGCTATATTTTTTTTAAATATTTGACTTCTCTTTTGAGGTTTTTCAAAGATTCTTAGTTGAAGCTTTTCAGTTTGACATGAATTCAAAATGTACTAAAAAATAAAAAAAAATAAACTTTTTTTGTTGTTGAATCTCCTAAAAATATCTATTCCATTACATTACTGCTGTTGAAGAAATAAGATACCATCCAATTAAAGCATCAATGTTAAATAAAATCAGTACAAATGTTGATGTAAAGCAACGAGCTTGATCCATGGAGCTCTGTGGAATTAGTCCAATATAGCTTTATTATTATTAAAGTGACACTTCAGATTTTTTGAAGTGGGGCTCAATAAAAATGTTATAAACAATTTATTAATCTAACCTGTTATAAATAGCTCTTTGAACATGCTCAGATTGGAGAAATAGAGTTTATGTATGAGCATATTAATTAGTTAATAGTTTGTAACGTCAAGAAGTGACTTAGGTTATACACTGAAGGTCTTTAATTTAAAATCAATATTAAAAAGAACAATTAGACTTAAACAAATATTTATAACTCTTCACATCATTATCCCTTTCACATAGTTTTTCCAGCAGCAATGTTGATATTCCTGCCATAAGTGTCCAAAAATGCACCAAAGTGCTACTGTTAGCTGCTGTGATTTGTGCTCTCAAACAGCTTCTGAATCTATGGAGATAAGTGTGCAATGCAAAATAGACAAGGATATGAAAATGTAAAAAGAAAATAGTTTATTGTTAATAACCTTTCCACAGATCATCATCATTTTAATATCATGTTCACCAAAATTATAGCTAATTTTACAGTAAAATAATTTGATTCATAGTGACCTGATTAAATTGTATTTTTTAGTAAATGCAGCATGAAGTACTGTATGTCAGTGCCATGCTCATGTCACAGTGGTCTTAAAGTATGATATGGTCTGTAAACATAAGGAGACTGCACAGCTTCGAGAGGAGCACGTCACACAAGTGAGAGAAAACACAGCATACGTCTATCAGCCATTAAAAACATTATTTCAATTCAGTTTTTATCAAACATGAGACCATAAATAATTAATAGAGGTGAAGAGAGCTTTGTTGTATGTGGCTGTCCTGTTTTAGAGGAGATTAGATGTTCATATGAAGTGTGCTGTTTGTTAGGTACTATTACTGCAGCTGCAGAGTATTTTGAATATGAACAGGCTCCCTAACAAGATTATTGTTATAACTGCACAGTCAGAGTCAATTGTAAATGTGCTAAAAGTTGCATTGAATTTAAAACCATACATTAGGTCAAACTAATTTTATACAAGCATATACTCTTGAAGCATTCTTTTTTTTTAATTTGTGATTTATGCGCTGTAAAATTGTGAAAGTTCAAGCCTTGTTTTAGTATTGCAGCTAGTAAGTAAAAGTATCTGAACTTATCCATAAACAGGGTTTTCATGTTCTGTGTTAGCTTGAACATTGTTTTAACTGGAAACAAAATAAACAAGTATAACTGCTAACTATATTATTTCAAATCAGACCATTGGGAGTTACATTTTGGTCAGGAAGATCATCCGTTCAACGAGTCCTTTAAATTAAACTGTAGCTGATTGATGCCAACTGCCATGTGTGTTTGAGTAAACTTTTATTATACTTTTTACATATACAGTCAATTATAAATATCTGCTAGATATTGAAATGTCCAAGTGTTGTAGAAAAATGGGCAAAGTTAATAATTCACAAGACATTTTATGGAGTTTTTCTAGCAAAATAATCCAGGTTGAAATTTTAAGGTTAGATGTAAAAGCTTTTTGTAATTCTTTATTTCATGATGATAAAAAATCTTTTTATTTAGTATATTCAATTATTTTTATTATTATTAACCTTTATCTAACCAGGCAAATCCCATTGAGATCACAGATCTCTTTTGCAAGGGAGGCCTGGACCTGAAGGCAGACTAACATGCAGGTTTTTGGTCTGTCTAATTTGAAGTTTTAGTCAGACAAAAGGAGCAGTTTTTATATTATACTTTACCATTATGTTTAAAATGTCTATTAAATAGGGTTACTGCTGCCTCTACAACAGTGTGCAAAAGTTTTAAAGCATTCCTCTTCATCATCTTTCCTTTCAAGCAGTCGGACCTTGTTGTCATATTTTAAAGAGCTCTTGAGCAGCAGTTCTACGGGCTTTATCTAACAAAACTTTGTTGACTGCTTCTCATTCATGTACAATTTTGTAGCTGACAGCACATTGTACAGTGTCTGTAAAAAGTCAAGAACATAAACAAGTGGGTGATTTAAAAAGTCATGTCTTTAGGAAACAGAAACAAATTTATCAAAGACCTGACACCGAACCTGGGAGGTGCATCATCCTTCAGCTGATAATCGACGTTATGACAAGTTCTCAGCTGGCAGCTCTTTGACATTCATCTTGTTGCTGCTACAATTCTGTTTTAGGTGTCAATCTGAAGTTTCTGGCTCTCTCAGAGTCAATCCTGAAACTGTTTTGTCATAACTCATATCAACTTAAAGGGACACACTGCAAAATATGAAATCAGAAGTTAAAAGGTTATCCTAAACTGTATCAAATCCTGCAGCTTGAGAGTGTACTCCAGTAGTTTTGCTGTTATACTGAACGCAATCCTGAAATGTGGGTCTACACCAGGGGTCTGCAAACTGTGGCTCTGGGGCCACATGTGGCTCTTTGGTCCCTCTGCAGCAGCTCTCTCAGGCTTTGACCAAAACTAACATAAAACTGGATTTTATTTAAATAACTACCAATAATGACAATGGATAGTTTTAGCAGGTTTCTTGTCATTTTCACATGTGTGAAAAATAGTATAAATACAATGTGTAAAACATGTGGACTACATCCTGCTAGTAGTTTGTTAGCCACTTTAAGTCGACTTCCAGTCTATCAGCGTGATCTTTCTCTCAAAACCACCAGAACGTTTTGGAATATCTTTAAGACAAGCTGCTGAGAAGGAATATGGTGAGTAACTTTGATAACAATAAGAATAAAGCACAAAAAACAAAGTCAAAGTAAACTAAAGTATTTATTTTTCTTTAAAAATATAACTGTATATCCAACAAACTGGCCTAATTTTATACTGTTTAACTTTACGCTTTAAGTGGGAAACTTAACTCTTCAACAATTACAAGAACTCACATGCAGAGTTCACTGTTTTAATTTTTATAAAATTGTTAAAAAATATTTATTTTTAATTTTTTTTACATAAATCTGTTTTTTTCTTTTTTTATTAAAATGTATAAATATCAATAAATGTTAATAATAGTTAGACATTTTTTGTTTTATAATATCACTCCCACTGGTTGGAAAAGCCATTAGCAACAAACCTGTAATGGTCCATAGGCCACCAGTTGACAGTACACAGTTACAGTAGATTGGGCGGCTCCGGACATCGTAATTAGTACTGTATTATCCACCGTATAAGTCACCATTTTTTTGCATAAATTAGCATGCCTGCAACTTATACAGCGAAGCGACGTATTTATGTTTTCTTTGTCCCCATATTTATAACCCAATTTTTGGCTAAGATCCGATGATTTCATTCATTCTGACATGGAAAATATTGAACACTACCATTATCAGCCACTAGAGGACCCTAGACTAATATGGCAAGCCAAGTGTCTCATTAATAGGTAAAAGTGGCTATTAATGAGACACTTGACTTGCCATACAAGCCACCTTGATCTCGCTCTGGAACACCTGGAGCAAACATCAAATCAGCTGCATTTCACCGCGCCGCCCAGGTGAAATGCAGCTGATTTGACCATTAAAGTGCATTTATTCAGGAAATTTTACTGAGACACACCTTTACTATAATGTTGAACAAACAAATAATTGTTTTAGGTGGTTATCTTGATTAATTTTGAAGAAATGCGCAGCGAGTCATTCTGCGCGCTCCTGCTTCCAGTAATCGGCTTTTGAAATGCAGCTGATTTGACCGTCAAAGTGCATTTATTAAGGAAAAGTTAGACTGAAACACACCTTTACTATAAGTTTGAGCAAACAAATAATTGTTTTTAGGTGGTTATCGTATTAAATTTTGTGTTAAAGTCCTCTCGTGCACGCTCCCGCAGCCGCCATTTGGCAGCCAGTTGATTTTTGGCACAACACCGGAGTGTTATCAGCGGTGATGTGTAATAAATGCGACGCATCAGTGGTGACGCATAATACACTAGATGCAACTTATACAGCAAAGTGACATGTACGGGGGAAAATACGGTAATCAAAGTGCCAAAAATGTATTTTTTTTATCACAAAGGTTGCAGACCCCTGATCTACACAAAAGAAAGCACTCGGTTGAATCTGCTGAAAACAACGTGAAGGCTTGAGTCACATGACAGGCTGGTCATACTTTGTTTAAATTAACAAACATGGCAGCAAATATAATGTCTGATGTATTTTCAGCCACTTCATTGGTTCTGTAGTTAACTGAATACATTATTGGACTGGTCACAATATTAACAACTCAGTCTGTTTACTAACTGACACTCATTGAGTTTTTGCTACAGAATTTAAAAAGGTCAGGTGTTTAAAGACAGAACTGACATAATGGTTCCTGACAAGTTTGTGGAAAACATCCATAAAAAATAACCTTTTCAGAGCTGCTGTCAAAATCATGCATTCACCTCCGTGACATTTTCTGATCATTGCAGCAACAACCTTCCACCCCGTCATTTGTCCCACTTTAAACATCGAAGTGAAAACAAACTCTGCAGCGTAAATCATCAAGAGAGGACACAAATCACCAGAGCGTCACCTTCCTGTTCATGTCCACCGCAGTGGACCCACATTCAGCAGGTGGGCCCGTGTGAATCGTGTCTCACCTGGAGGTTAGTCATCTGGAAGCGGTAATTGTGATTGGCAGCCGTTGGCGCTGAGATAATCAGGAGTCGTCGCTTCTCGTAGAACTGGTCCAGCAGCGCAGCAGCTGTGCGCACTCCCACATTAATGTTCATGGCTGCGATGACATTAAATATACAATTAGGCCAAGATATGAAAGACGTGGCAAGAGGTGAAGATTTATTATGACACACTGTCGCTGTGAGGCGCTGCATAATTAGATTTGCTTTGCTGAACTGAAGAATGGCTGCTGATGTTCAGGAGCTGCAACGCACTTCCTCACGACTCGCTGAAATTTACATAAAACTATGAAACCATCGGCGTGGATTTTTCTAATCGACGAGCAGGCTGCTATTTTCTCCTCCACCGGTCTCATCACATAAAAACAAAAACAGTGTTGCCTGAACTGATTGACGCATGCAAGTTATCAAAACTAAAGTTTTATCTTGAGATTTTTGCCAAAAAAAAAATTTATTTCTCAGTTTATATTAGTTCTTGTTTTGCAAATCTAAAGCCTCTTGTTCTCATTTCTCCAATTTGGTTAAACAAATGTTAAAAAAGATCAAGGTTTTTCCCTTGTACGGCAAATAAAGGTTGTTTTTCATAGAACACTAAGTTTTATGCATGACAGGAACAAATGCTTGAAACATGGATGTTGCTGCAAAAAAGCTGCAAAATCTAAAATACAAACTTAAAAGTGAAAAAGATGAGTCGATAATAAAATGGTCAGTCCAGTATTTGGTTCCAGTTTGGTAAGTGAACATGGTCACAATCCTCTCTTAAGCAATGGTTTTCTTTTAGCTGTTCCTCTGCAAGGCTTGCTGCAGAATCAATGGATTCAAACCAGCAGCTTCAGAATTACGACCGCGGCACTGACCACCGAGCTACAGAAGTCCTGATATCCCACTGAATAAATGCTAGAAAGGAGGTTTTGATAAATACTGTGATGTCACAGTAACGTTACATTTTGATCCAGTATAAACATTATAAAACTTTGTGTAAAATTGCATCAACATTTTGGTAAAAATCAGGTCATCTATTGCCTGAAATCAAATTATGCACATCTTTATTGACGCTTCTCTGTAATTTAATTCATGCAGGTATCAGTTAAGGTTTCCTACAATTACTCTAAACAATTCCAAACAAGAACCCCTTCCCAACGTTGACCCCTCTACATTGTCCATGACCTATCAGGATTTGACCAGGTTTGACTCCCTGCTGTGCCCATATGAGTAAGACCGTTTTCCTACTGCTCCCCGGGCGCTTACGTAGCTGCCCGCTGCTCCACCTGGGTGTATCTCATGTGTGATGGGTCAAATGCAGATTACATCATTGTATGGGAACACATAATGATGACAACACATAGCAGGGGACTAAGGAATCTTATTACTCACCCAAAAAATGTTTTACTGCCATTTTTTTTGTGTGTTGTCAGACGTGCCCAAGCACCCTCATCATGCCCAATATGTCAACAGCATGTTTGCATTACAGTACCATGTACAAACACGTGCACACGACACCCCAGGCCTCGCCCTGTGTCTTAGACAGTGTCAGGACGCACATGCTAAAAGATGATATCACACTTGCACAACTATTATGTCTGTTCTAGGTTGTTTCTTGGACCATGTCATGATCTGCAGAATTTCTATGCTTATACTGTATGAAAGGGTTTTAGACCACCGTTAGTGTCACTTTATGATGAAAGCAAGTTCTTCTTGCTTTGTTTCCAAAAGGTGTGGTGCAGAAGCTCATGGAAAGGTGAACTGGTCATTGCAGCTGGGTTGTAAGAGCGAGATACAACAGGTATAGAAATTGCAGCTGCCACCACCAAGAGCATTGCAATAACTTAGTTGAAGCACTGCCAGCATGTTGTGAGCATGACCAGTCCTGCTTCAAATCCTCCACAACCTGCACGCACCAGGCCCCACTTCATGCTGTCTTTGTTGTCACCATGCTCCACCTAGGACCCCGATAAGTTGCCACGCAGGTAACAAACCACCACAATGTTGCTACAAAAAGTTTGTGCATGCTCCAAATCTTCCTAGTGTAAGGATGGTACTTTTCTGTGGCCCGGTTTGTGTCTGTTTCCCTTGTGCTCCCTCATTAGTTCTATTAGTGCCACCTGTGTCTCGTCCCAGCTGTTTGTTATCACGTCTCATCTTGTCCCTGTATTTAAGCCGTCCGTTCTGTCTTGTTCTTCGTCGGGTCGTCTTCGTTGGGTCTCCTGAGTCTTTCCCTGAGTCTTCCTGGTTCCTCGAGTTCCCCGTGTCTCTCGTGTCTCCTGAGTTCCCCGTGCCTCCTTCCTATGTTCATGTAAGTTTTGCTGCCCCGTCAGCTTGTTATTTTGTACTTTTATTTATCATTAAAATCCTATTTTTGTATTCCTGCCGAGTTGAGTCTCTGTTCTGCACTCTGGGTTCGCTCCTGACCACAAACCCTGACACCTAGGCCAGTCACACAATGAGGAGCACCCTGCGTTTCTAAAACGTGACCCATCATAAACAAGTGTGAAGTGAGGCATATCGAGAGTAAAAAGTCATGAAAATATTTCCCAACAGCTTTCATTCCTGCTTTTTTCATTTGTCTGAAATCTGTGTCAATTGCATGATTGTTTCTGTAAGTCATAAACTACAATAAAAGCAATGAAACCCCTAATTCAAAGTTTTTAACAAGTTTTCTGTCTGTTTAGTATTATTGTTTAGCACAAAGCTTTGAGACCTGCAACACTTTACTATTTTCTACTTAGTAGTCAAAGTATTAATGAATGAAATAGTTATATTATCCATTACATTTTCTATATAATAATCCATCCATCCATTATCTTTACCTGCTTCTTCCTTTTTGGGTCACGGAGGTCACTGGTGCCCATACCCAGCTATATAATAATGACTACATACAATACTTTTGTTACAGTTAAAAATCAAAGTAAACATTAATAAATTGTATAGAACTAACAGAGTTTTAAAAAGCTTGTATTTCTGTAAGATGTTTGTGTGTTGAGCAGCGTGAGATACATACGTGCACATACTGTGTCTGAGCCGGCCCAGGTGAGTCCATATTGACAGACTCTGGCAGGACTGCCCTGCAGCTCGTGGCCCCCGCTGCAGGTGAACTCACACGAGGCGCCGTAGTTGTCTCCATCACTGTCGCACTTCATGTAACCGTTGTCCGGGGGAAACAGCGGGCTGCAGCGGCGTACTGCGCACAAAACATAAACGTGCATGATTTTGATTTATCGTGGTCAGAGGAGTAAAGAATAACTTATCTTAGTCTACGTACACACATTTCTGCCTGAATTTGTTGACACAAGTTAACAGAAAATGATTTGTCTTGAGTTACATCATACATTTGTAGAAACATAATTTTACTGTAGGTTTCATGAAAAAAAATAGCATAAAACCTGCAAATAAAAATATTTATGAGTTTAAAAAAAGGGTACCACTTTAAAATAAGGCTCCCCTTATAGATGCTAATAAATAGTTCATAGATATGTTATTAATTCCTTTTTAAACACTTTATAAATCATTAATAACTGCATATTATGCATTAATTAAGGGTGACAGAGACTAAACTGACAAGTTCCTTGCCAAATGTGTTCACCTTTATATTTTATCTAGAGTTGTTATATTAAACATTTCAGACTAATTGTAAGCACAATAAGCATTTGTAAACCTAATGTTTTTAGGATATAATATTGTGCTTTATCACTGCATCATAAGTACCTACAACTAATATTATATCCTTTAAAAAATAGGTTTACAAATGCTTATTGTGCTTACAAAGTAGTAACTTAGTCTGAAATGTTTAGTATAACAACTCTAGATGAAATATATAGATGAACACATTTGGCTCACTGTTTGGCAAGAAACTGGTCAGTTTAGTCTCTTTCTTGTTCTTAATTAATGTATAGTAAACAATTATTAATGATTTGTAAAGTGTTTGAAGAGGAATTATAAATGTATCTATAAACTATTTATTAGCATCTATAAGGGGAGCCTTATTAAGGGGAGCCATCTTATATTACAGATCTTATTGTTCCGTATTTTCCTAACAGCTCACTTTGCTCTCAGACTGCAGGCTTACTTGTGGTTCCTAGAGTTTCCAAAAGCAGAATGGGAGGAAGGTCTTTGAGTTGTCAGGCCTCTCTTGTGGAACCAACTTCCAGTTTCTGTCCATAAGGCTGACACATTGTCCAGCTTAAAGACTGGGCTTAAGACTTTCATTATTGATAAATCCTATAGTTAGGGTTGGCTTGTTATGCTGCTATAGGCTTAGATTACTGGAGGACAAACTGACCTCATTTCCTTAAATGAATTGTTAAATTGAATAGTTTTCATTTGATACTATTTCTGTCTTAATGTGATTCTTGACCTGCCATTGTGTATCTGTTCCTCTCAAATCCAGTTGGTTGAAGCAGAAGATCGCTTGTCCTGACTCTGGTTCTGCTAAAGGTTTCTTCCTCATGAGGGAGTTTTTCTCTACTGTCGCCTTCATGCTTGCTCAAGATGAGAGTTCTGCGATGGAGTTAAATTCAAAGCAGTCTGTTCCTCAGATAAATAATGTTAAATTATTATTTTTTATATATGAATGTTTCTGTTCAGTGTCCTGAGATGACCTCTGCTGTGACTTGGCTCTATAAATAAACTGAATTTAATTGAAATTTAATTGAATTATTGTAAAGTGGTGCCAAAAAAACGTTCATTTATTCTAATGGAAATGTTAATGTCTTACAAAGTTTTAGATTTTTTTAAAATATATATATTAAAGAAAACATATGTCTTTATGTATTTCATTTATTGCTGAGATTTATTTCAAACGAGTCACAGATTTCGGTGTTTTCATCTGCTTTAAGAAAAAGACTCACCTCGAACTCTGACAGAGAAGCGGCAGGACCCTTTGTTCCCCGCTCGGTCAAACACAGTGTAGGACATCTTGTGGAGTCCCTCTGGGAAGTAAGATTTTGAAGGTGGTCCTTTCAGGATAACACTGCAAACCACATGCTCAGTTTGAAACTTTCCCTGGGATTTCCATTTTGAGCAGGATTAAACTGACTGAGAGCACTGAAGCAGCAAGAGGATAAAAGCTTTAGAAGGTTCAGGAGACTGACTCTGTCAGGATCCCGTCCGCCGTGTCGATGCCCTCAGGTGTGTCCCACGTCACCCTCGCTGTCAACTTCCCTGGTTCGGCCCACTTATCCTTTAGATTGGGACACTTGATTTTAGGGGGCTCTAAATCTACAGCCAAGAAAGAAGACATTGAACGACTTCAGTGAAAGAACCACTCAACAAATATTGTTTGACTTAATCAATTAAAATAAACTTTATTGTTCTTATAAGAACCTTCTGCTACTAAGCAGAACAATATATTAATGTAAGTAAAAATGTGTTCAAAGTCTAAGGATTTTAAATAAAATGCATATAGACTCACAAACGTCTTTATAAGATTTAATTACACATAATGACAAATGTCAATTAGGCCTAATTTTGTAGCTAGAATCATTTTCACAAATTTCATTGATTCGTTTTAAAATAAAACTTTTATGGGTGAAAAACGTAAATGTCCATTTGATTTCTACATCTTCACGTGAATGTGTGGGTTTTCTCCGGTTACACTTTTTTTCCCGAAGTTGGGCTAAATACAGTATGTTGATTCTAATACCAAAGAGCGTGTGTCTCGTTTTGTCTCTGATGGACCAAAAATGTCTGAAGGTTTATTGTAAAAAAAATAAATACACAGAGTGAAGTCCAGAGGCATGCTGGGAGTATTAGAAACAAATCAACATAACCTTTTATAGTAACATAAAAGTAAATAAATCAATATAATGAAGAAGTGAGGATGAGTCAGAGCGTCTGTGACAAAAATATAACAGACTCGATGCTATACGTCCAGGGACAGGCTGACTGAGGAAAAACTGACTGAAGGTACAAACTATTCTGTCATTTAGATGTTCAGCAAAAAGCTTTTTTTGTTAGCTCACATGTTATAAACTCAAACTGTACAAGTGAAAATAGTGTCATTTTCTGGAGTATGGACTTCTGTGAAGTACAAACACATCTAAAGACTAATTTCTTTCAAACATCAACCACAAAAACAAATGTCTACGGCTGACACTGGGCAACAGAAAATTATAATTGGTGGCTGTAGTTGCCTCTTACGGTGGTCGTCCTTTTCGGTAGACCCAAACTGTACACCAAAGCTCCACATGTAAGAGTTCCAGCCTTTTCCTTTGCAGCTCTTCTACACCAGACAGCGCCAGCAGATCCACACCTGAGGACCATTCACCTGATGAGCTGCAAGGACTACAGCTGTAATTTCTAACCCAAACCTGGAGCCCGGCCCCACCTGACCCGGATTCGGACCGGACCGGGCCATAATAATGTGCTTAATGTGTGGGCCGGGTCAGTGTCAGGCTTATTATTGCGTCAGGAATGCGTGCGGCCGATGATCCAACATATGCAAACATAGCTTGCCATAATGCACCTGATGCTTCTGGCCATTTGATTGTGCGCTGACCGGCTGGTTGAAAGAGGTAAAAAGTTCAGTTAAGCTTCAGATGGACTACTGCCAGCGATCCATCAGCCCAAATTGACGTTCATTCAGCCACTGCACTCAGCGGACACGCGCAGCAGACGTCCCAAACAGGTGAGATCACAAAATATCAAACATGTCCGAGCAGGATGCAGGCAGAAGCAGGGGAAGCATTTAATGCGCTTTGATGGCTCCTCAGCTCCAATCTTCTCCCCCCTCAGCCGCGCACATCTGCCAGCTCTTAATAATAGTCGGTGATATAAGCAGTTGAAGCTTAATTAAAAATGTTGGGGGATTTTCTGGGTTCTGACCTGTAATTATTGTTTATTTGTCGGATCGGGGGGGTTTGGAGATGATGCTACGGGCTGGGGCCAGGTTGGTTCGGATTATTTGGACCCAAGTGCAACTCTAGCAAGAACTACTTAAGGCAGTTAATGACTGCTATCTGATGCTGGTGCATTATCTGCCTTTAGGTAGTTGTGTTTCTGGCCTTTACATTGTTCCTAGTGTTTTGTGAAAGATTAATATGTGATCTTGTCATAACTTGACTCCTGTGATCCTCCTGAGCCTCCTTGTGATCTCTCCACCTGTTCCCTGCCTTCCACCACTTGTCCAACATTTGTGTAAGACCATTTTTGGAACCTTTTGGATTTCACCATGTGACAATCCCGCCTGCTTAAGATAAGAAACTGAACATCAAGACCAACCTCCCAGAGAAACTTTCCATTACAGATGTTCCCTGTTATTCACTTTGTTGAATAAACACTGTTAAAACATCCTCCGGGTCCTGAAGTTGTTCTTGTTTCACGTACTATCTGAGTATAGAGTCAAACTTTACACCACAGGCTCAGCCTTACCAACACATATGGGGCCTGCTGCGCTCCACACCTTGCTGTCCTGGCAGACTGTTGTCTTCTGGCCCTTCAGGGTGTAACCAGGAGAGCAGAAGAACTCGCAGCGGGAGTTGAAGTAGGAGCCATCTGTACACTTGTAGCCACCGTTAATGGGCATGTCGAGCTTTGGGCAGCGGATCTCTGTCAACACAGAGTTCAGAGTTAAAGCTTTACAAAGCTCTGACAGTTCGTATCATTATAGATTAATGTTGATAAGTACAGTACATTTAAATAGATGTGTTCTTAATCATTCTGTATAGTCTAATCCAGGGGTTCCCAAACTTCTCCATGCCTCCCAGTGGGCTGCAGACCCCACTTTGAAAAACAATGGTCTAATGGATGACTTTGTAGTTTGAAGTTTGATGTTTTATTCTGATAAATACTGAAATAAAATGTAGGCATACCTGCTGTCAAGTTCCCGCCCCTCATAGTTTGATTATTTTACTCTGAAAAAGTCAGACTTGCTTTTGTTTTATTTTTCTAATTGGTTTGAGCAGCAATTCTCCAGACCTTCTGAAGGTCCCACCTCTCTTGACCTTCCAGCGTTTACTTTACTGTGCTGCATTCTGCAATATTTATAACCCCTGTGAAATCAATTTTCTGACAACTCAAATCATTTCACTGTTATAAAAAAAAAGCATTTTCAAAAACTTGAACTTCTCTGAAGCAATGTCACTTCTGTCACCTTTGCTGCACAACCAGTGCAGCGTCAATAATGTCTTCAAGGAGAAGCCTCTCTCTTCTCCCTGAGACAATTATTTTGTCTCATCTTTCTTTTTGATGGATTACTTCTCCCTCCACCTTTAAGTGAGATCATTTAAACAACAGTCATATTACAGTGTAGCTCGAGAAGCCTATAAAAGTTCATGAATGTATTAAAGATAAACGTATGATGTGTTTGTTTTTTATTGTAAGTAATATTGAGCCTTTAATTTAAATCATGTTTTAGTTTCATTAAGTGACATTAGTTTTATTAATTGGGGCATCTGTGGCTAAGTGGTTACAGCAGTCGTCCTCCAATGCAAAAGTTGGGGGTTCGACTCCACCAGCAGTCATATGTTGAAATGTCCCTGGGCAAGACACTGAACCCCTCATTGCCTCCAGTGAGTGTCCCATCAGTGTATGAATGTGATAAAGCACTGATTAGTCTTTGTATAGATCTAGTAGAGTGCTGTATGCATGGATAAATGAGGACACAGATTGTGTTGTAAAGAGCTTTGAGCATCTTGATAAAATAGAAAGGTGGTATACAAGTATTTGTATTACCAATAAATGACACCAAACTCTGGTGTACCCATCATGTGATACAGGAAAGAATCATAATCTTTTTATTAAATCTAAATCAACACAATCATTTGTTGACATAACTTTGAAGCTGTAACATTTAACAAAAGGGGAAGATCATCCCTCCTGCAGTGTCTGTTTGTGAGTTGTCAGCCTCCTCTCTTCACGCTGCAGCTTCATCAGTCATAAATTTGCTACACTGCTCGAGAAACGTGTGGTGTGACAACAACATGCGAGAAGGTTCAATGGAGAAAGTCTCACATTCAATGTGTGTGAACTGGCAGCCTCGTCATTTGTCACATCGCAGTTAAAATAAGCTGGCTGATTCAGTGAATGATGACTGTACTGGTCTCTACGAATGAATTCAACAATTGTGTCATACTGTAAAAGATTTTATCCGAGGGTCCGTCCGGCACACAAACATTAGGTGGGCTGGCCACCAAAGTTAGCTCATGTGATGAGTTGCTTAGGTATTTTGGCAGAAGTTAAATGAAATGTTCAAATTATTTTAAAAGTTAGTTGGATTTAAGGGAAGAGTAGTTCACTCCACATGCAGGCTTTTGATGGTTCCCAAAACTGGGGTCATGAAACAACACAGTGTGGGGTCTAGAGATAATCTACAAAAATCTAATTATTTTTAACAAGATTGCTAATAGCATATTTATCCTGAGTGGTTAAATAAAAATATAATGGTTATAAATGCATAAAACCTTATAAAAGTTTGACAAAGGATTTTGTTAAACAGTGTTCTTCTACTTTAGTAATATAGTTGGGGTCCAAAGTTTGTGCAACTTTATTATATGGGTCAAAGCAGAAAAGTTTGGGAACCACTGATCTAAAACACCCAGAAGGCAGAGTATAAAGCAAAAAGTGTGATTGGGTTTGATGCTGAGAATGCTCAATAAGGAAAAAACACAGAGGTCCTCAAAAAAGAACACAAAGCAGCAAATATAATCAACCTTTTCAAATAATAATTGGGCAAGACTTTTAAGTTTTGGTTACCAGTCAAGCTCGTTGAGCTTAAAATCTTCTAATTCTGGTGACCTGCTGAGAAATCGGTGTAGCCCTAATAAAATACATACTTTAATCTATGTATCCCTAATCAAATACATACTTTAATCTATGTATTCCTAATAAAATACATACTTTAATCTATGTATCCCTAATGAAATACATACTTTAATGTATTTATTCCTAATGAAATGCATACTTTAATCTACAAAATCTATGTATCCCAAATGAAATACATACCGGTACTTTAGTCTATGTATCCTAATAAAATGCATACTTTAATCTGTGTATCCCTAATAAAATACATACTTTAATCTATGTATCCCTAATAAAATGCATACTTAATCTATGTATCCCTAATAAAATGCATACTTTAATCTATGTATCCCTAATAAAATATATATTTTAATCTATGTATCCCTCATAAAATACATACTTTAATCTATGTATCTCTAATAATATACAAACTTTAATCTATGTATCCCTCATAAAATACATACTTTTCTGCGTTCAGTTTTTAGGTATAATTCTTTAGCTCTGCCTTTCAATCTAAAACTAACTTGTCTCAGCTCATTAAAAAAATGTCTGCCAACAGTCAAGCTCTTGTACCGTAGTTTCTAATTTTTTTATTCCCAGTTTGTGTGTGATCAATTGATCATTGCTTCTCACCTCTGCAAGCATAGTTAGACGACCAGTGTTTGCTTGCCATGCACACCACCTCCGAGTTCTGGGATTCATATCCTCGTTTACAACGGATTTTACAACGAGTTCCCATCACATTGCTGCTGTGCTCCCCTCTGGGTGTGCGACAGCTCACGTCACCGTGCTTCAGCTTAATGGGTGCACACCACGGAGCCCCTGAAAGCAAAGGAAGAACAGCGCTGAAGCTTTTATTAGAAGAATCAATGCAGTTACATCAACTGCATCACGACTTGGCCTTGGACTGGGAAAGACTCAATCAAGCACTTACCTGAAGCCTATAAAAGCTTAAGGATGTTTTGTGCCAAAGTAAACATGTAAAAACCCACCCATCACCTTGAGTAAAGGCAGATTCGGTGGATTTCTCATTACCTTCTCTGTGACTTCCAATCACCCAAAAATGTCCCAGTGGAGGCAAGAGAAGCTGGTTTCACTCCAAGGAAAGACAGTGATGTGTGGGGAGCACTTACTCATTGATGTCTGTGTCAAAGAACATCATGAAAGTTGTAAAAGTTTGTGTTGAGTGGGGCTTTTTCTTAAACTAATACTGCAGAGTTTCATGTTATCTCTGATTATTATTCTTCAGATCAATGTCCTACAGAAGGTTAATTTATCTAAACAGATGTTCTTTAGTTTGACCAACTAAAATCTTATCCTTTGTTTCCAACAACAGCTCAATAGTTGAAGGAATAAAAAGAGATAGATGGTCTTGATTTATTTTGAGAAAACTAATTCATCTTAAGCATTATGTTGTAACACATAAGTCATAGTTTCTGAAAAGCTCCTACTGCTTTCTACACCACAGACACATGTCCTGTCCACACTATTATGGATGTATTAGTATTTTTTGCTGTATTTGCACAACCAATCCACAAAAACAGGATATTTTTAAAACGTTTTCCCAAGTGAAGATTTTTCAAACAGTTTTAGATGTGCCCATGTGGATGGGAAATGCTGAATTTTTTCAGAAACAATGATGTAGCAGCCTATTTTGTGTGTGCCCCATTATTACTTGGAATCTAAAACCCCAAATAGCAGAAAAACACATTTTATTTATTTATTCAGCATCTGACACCTTCGCCATTAAACTTTGACTGTGTGCTGAAATAGTTAATTAAGGGAAAACTGAGTCATATCAAAAGAAACACAACTTTTAGGTGGATTTTTAACCAAGATGAGCATGTTCTTTATCTGTACTTTGAAATGTTGTTCACGTGGACCTTCTTGCCACCTAGTGGTCTGGAATGAGTATTACAGGGCTTGACTTGTAGGCAAGAAAAATATAAAAATGGAGAAAAAAATCTGTTTAATAATATATCAAGCATAGTTTTGACAAGGCAAGTCATTAAAAACACATTTTGAAAAGTGTTTTTATAAATATCTGTTTTTCTTACCCTACATTCTATTTTACGAGTATTTATAGAGGTAACACTTCACAATAAGGTACACAAAATTTGCTTAACTATTAGGGAACGCCTAAGGAACAAGTCAGGATCTAATGGGTAGTTAACCAGTACTTACTGGGGAGCACACTGCCAAGCCCTATTGGGGAACTACTGGTTTGTTACCTTGTAAATGAAGAGGAACTAATCAAAATCTAATGGGTAGTTGCCAAGGAAACCAAAGAGGAATGAATCAGAAGCTAATGGGTAATTAACCAGTACTTACTGGGGTACACACAGCCAAGCCTTATTAGGGGACTACTGGTTTGTTACCACAGAAACAGAGGAGAAATTTTCCCTGTGGGTTCTAAATAAACTCTGCACCAGTGAGGTCACAGCTCGTAATTGTCAAAAACCTGTTTCCTACTGATTACTGGTTTTATTACCCATTAGCTCCTGATTCGTTCCTCTTTGGTTTCCTTGGTAACTACCCATTAGTTCTTGATTAGTTCCTCTTCATTTACAAGGTAACTAACCAGTAGTCCCTTAATAAGGTGTTCCCCAGTAAGTACTGGTTAACTGCCCATTAGCTCCTGATTTGTTTCTCTTTGCTTTCCATGGTAACTACCCATTACTTCCTGATTAGTTCGTCTTCATTTCCCAGGTAACTAACCAGGAGTCCCCAAATAAGGCTTGGTTGTGTGTTCCCCAGTAAGTACTGGTTAACTAACCATTAGCTCCTGATTTGTTCCTGAGGCGTTCCATAGTAGTTAATCAAATTTTGTGTACCTTATTGTAAAGTGTTACCAGACAGTAATATCCAAACTTTCATAAATGTTGAAGTAATCCTTTAAGTCAAGCTACACTACAACTTATTTAAACTCGTCCCACTGCTTAGTGGATACTTGCCCGTCTCAACATGGCTTCTGTAAACATTCCTTGTCAGAGCCAAGTTTGTGGAGCCATGAGTTTCTAATTTCAATACAAAGAAATCAAGATCTGCTCTTTATTTCCTGCTGGCCCCAAACAGACACACATCTGCACATTTGGAGAGGAGAGAGTACACACAAGCTTAGGTCAACGTTGGAGCAAAAATGAATATTCATTACACAGTCAGCCGCCTTTGCTCCAGCTTACTGTGTGTATGTGTGTTGGCAAAGTGTCTACAGCCACAGAGTGAAAGAAAATACTTTAGACGAGGGGAGAGTTTTATTTAGCCTGAAGGATAAGTTTCTGCTTTACTGGTCCCAGTTTAAAGCCAAAAGCTACTGTGATGTAACTGTGTCAGTTCACAAAGTTACCTGAATAGAGTTAAGTTGATTTATGCTTTATAATAGAAACAATATATACTTTTATATTATAGTGATGATTATTTAGTGAATATGTTTAACCAAGTTAATATTTTTCTTCTTTTGTGTTCTGATATGTGGTTAATGTGGCTTTTTTTTTATTTTGTTAAATGCATGAATGGAGAAAATAAATATATATATAAAGAAAGAAAAAAAAAGTCAATTTAAGAATTATCTGAGGCCTTAGTTCTCTTAACCACTTGTTTTCTAGTAAGTTTGTTACAATTGTGTTTTGTTTGCACAGCCACAAAAGCTTTAGAGAAGTGAATGTAAAGGTAAATTAACATCAATAATTTGTTCCAAAATACCTTTAACTTGTTGTTACTTTAATTTTTAGTTGCTCATTAGTTGCATTTGCACATAACTTTGATTCGATGCTTTCAGTCTCTCTTTTTTTGTCCCCCATCGCAGAGCAAAGGGATGCCGGGAAATAAGACAGGTCATTATCTAAAATTTGGTTGCCATGTCAAAATCCAAAATGTCCACTACATATATATATATATATATATATATATATATATATATATATATATATAACATAGATTCCTCAAATGATTGGGGTGGCCGGTGACCTCTGTTCTTATACACATTGTAACTCCTATCCACTTGAATATCTTGCACCAAAAACATGAAGGTTTACTTGCATTTCCTGTTCAGTTTCAGTCCAGAAAAACATTAATCTCAAAACTACAAACACTCATATTATTCAAACCTCTCAGCAACAGGGGACATCGGTGTACCACTTGTTTTACGAGAACTATTGAAAAAGCTGCGCCTCCATTCCAAAATATCTTGGTTAAGTTTTGAACGAGAATGTCTTTGGGGCATCATGACCTTATTCAAAGTTCATAGACTGCTTGATTCTTTCAGTAATGTGTGAGATTAGTGTATGAATGTAAAGTTTGTGAAAAACAAGTGTAGTCACCTTTATATCTACGTGAATACCAGTCCTCATCATCTCCGTAAGCGTACTGTCCTGACCCTGCAAGTGAGAGAAGACGAAGAAAAACTACTAATACAAAGAAAAGCCATGTTCAAGATCAACGTGTTGGACAATGTTTGAAAGCATTGTCCTCGGCTGATCTGTAGGGCTTTAAGGACTTTGGTACACTTTCCATTTTAATTGGACTCCAGGGGATGATTTGGATCTTCTGAACGTAACACATGCATAAAGAACAATTCTCAAAAGATCATTTTTCCCAACTGTTTGGAAAAAAATTAACTTTTTCTGCTCAAAGATTCATTCTGTAGTCCCCTGGTGCATTTTACAGCAAATGGAAAGTGTTCATCAAATTTTGGCTCCAAAATATCTCTGAGCGTAATACCTACCACAGGCCATTCTGAGTCAGCTTTAACTGCGAACACTATTATTCACAAAGGCCAAATGATGAAGGAGCTGAAATTTTGGTGGCAGCTGAGCTGCTGGAGGACACAATTGAGTGGCAGCAGTGGGAGACAAATGTGAGAGGAAGTGTGATGAGCAAGAAGGATTATTTTAGAAAAGAGGATGAAAAGATGAGAGCAAGAGTGTAGAGATAGTCTGGAGGGAACGGGCAGAAGATGAAATACATATGGAAGGGGGTAAATTAGGAGGGCAGGGTGTTCAATCTTCACCTGTGGGTTGTTGTGAACGCCAGTCTGAATAAATCCTCTGTTCAAGAGCCACAACAGAGAAATGTTCAACCCTCCAGCTTCAATTTTAAGTTACTCCTTCTGGTAAGCAAACTTAATAAAACAAACAAATCTCCTGTTTGTTTGTATGTTTGGAAAGGAAATGAATAATTACCATCTTACCTGTCGCAGATAGGTTTCTGAATAGCAACACTTTGGAGAAAAAAGTGTTTGCTTCTGACCGGATTGATGAACTAATGTCTAGTCTGAGCAAGGCAGAGATAAACAGCTCATACGACAACATAACCTTTTTGGAAGAACCTCACTTCAAAAGATCTGAACTACCTCTTTAGCAAATCCCTTTGGGATCTAAATGCTGCAAGTCAAAATAAATGTAGACACACACACAAACATTAGGCTTTGAGTCAGATCACACAGCATGAACTGCACAGAACGAACACACACACTGAGACAAATTTAGCTGTCTAATGGGAAAACATAAGTGTCTGCTTCTTAATGGGGTGGGGGGGTGGGGGGGGTTTAAAGTGAACATTATTTTATGTGTCAGAGAAATTAGCAGCTCTTCCAGAGTTTTCAGTAATTCCAGACAATTTAGATTTGATGTCTTAACTTTGATCTAATAAATGTGTATTTGCTTAACATTATTTTGATAACAATAAAAAATTGTTTGCTTGTTCTGATTGTATTCTATTTGTCAATTATATTTCTTGGGGGGAAAAAAAGAGGTTTGCACTAGAGGCAATTTATGGAGCCTGCAGGTGACAGGCTGAGTTAAGACTCAGGTCCTAAAGATCTGTTCGCTCAGTTCAGGAAATGTTTGTGGATGTGGAACAACGTTGGTGTCCAAGTGCAGGAAATTTTGGATTCAGATTAGTTTTTGTTACATTTGAGAAAACAGAAAGACAACACGTACGTAAAACGAAGGTTTAGAGACATTTCAAACTGCAGTACCCATATGTGTCACTCAATAAAGGTCAGTGATGTCTGTGGTGTCACCAAAATCACATGGAACATTTAAAAATCTGACATTTGTGTCATTTCAGCAGTTAAATAATTTATTTTTTTAAATGCTAATTTCTCTCTCTCTCTCTCTCTTTCTCTCTCTCTCTCCCTCTCTCTCTCTCTCTCTCTCCCCCGCAGCTAATCCACCTTAGCAAACACATAAACAGCTCTATCTCAGTTAGTTTTACAGAGGATGAGCTAAAATTTTATGTGGTATTAGCCGATAGTCATCCCATCCCGTGCTTTGGGCTCTAATAGATCATGGATCATCAGATTATGTGAGATGTTTGCAACCAAGGCTGTGGGTGATATGCGTTCCTTCAAAGAAACCTAATTTTATTTTTATTTGTTTTGGCTGTAGTATACCGCCTACTTTCCTGTCATTGAGAAGAGGATCTATTTGTGGGTTTTCAGTATTTTGATAGTTTGTTAAAGGTTATCTAGTAAAAATATGCCCAACATTTTACCGTTGATGAACTGAAACAATGATCTTTTGTTAGTTCTCAAACAGAATGATGTATGTGTAAATGATTTACCTAATCTGGGAGAAAGGATTTAAAAAAATATATATCTGTGTGCACAGTGTCCCAAATTGAGAAAACTTATTTTTACAACTATTTCTAGAATTGCGCCGCTCGGGGTGGCTGCATGTTGGGAGTAGCTCTATTACATTCATTCTGAGTTATTGCTTTTGAAAACTTTAATTTCTCTTTTTTCTGGATGTAAATCACTTTTTTCGGATGCTTACTTCCTCTGGTATCGGAAGCTGAGCAGCTGAAAGGATTTTTACTGAAAATGTTTTACTTTTGGGCATTTGTTATGATGCGTAACCATGGCAACAAGGCGTTTTTTTGTATCAACCAGGAGCAGCTGATTGACATCTCAAAAGCTCATATACCTTAACTACAGCCCCAAATCCCAAATGAGTTGAAAAGGAGGCGTCGTGGAAGAATTCCCGTCAATCCACCGATATCCTGGCGCTGGTGGGAAACTCGGCTCATGACAACAGGAGGACCAGGATCATCCCCAGGCACCTTCAGCTGTCTATCCATGGTGACGAGGAGCTCGGCAGACTGCTGAGAAGAGTGATCATCGCTCATGGAGGAATTCTGCCCGGTATTCAGTCAGTTCTGCTGCCCAGGAGAACCAAGAGACCTGCCAGATCTGACAGCAAGCTGGATCCGGGTGGACGGATTGGTATCTGTGGCCAGATTCTTCAGATTCACTGCAGGAGATCCTTCCTGCCCACAGCTATCAGCATTTATAACAAATCTTGAATGAAGCCAGAATGAGCTACAACAACACTAAATTTCCCTTTGGGATTAATAAAGTATTTTTGAATTGAATTGAATTTCTTACATCTGGCCTGATCCATATTGTGGAGCGGGTACCGAGGCCTACAAACGAGTGAGGTGCAGTAAGCCTAATTTATGTTGCAAACCTAACACTAGCAGCTTTTTAACCTCATGCTGTTCAGCAACATGCTTTAAAATGTGTTGCCCTTTGATTTCAGGAGGTGATTGCATTTGTGTTTTTTAATAACAAAATAAAAACAGCATCTACGAACGTCTGAGTCCATGGATCCTGTTTCTTAAAAAAATAGTTTAATAAACATTTTAGCTTCAACCACCTACAAGGACACTACATTTCCCTTTTTTGTCAAAGCCTTTAGGCCTCAATCTGAAACTTGATCAGCTGCTGCTTGCGTCGTTGCTGATTGGATCTGAAACTCCAGTCACAGCAGGACAAAGAAGCTTGGTTCATTTGCACTTGTTGATAAAAGTATGTAATATTATTTTAAAAAAACACGGCAAGACTGTACACTGAGGTCGCTCAATATTCATATGTAATGAATTTGTCAAGATGATGAAAAGAGGATCAGCAGCCAGCATCAACTTCCTGTCCATGTTTTCTACATCAAAGGAGCAAAACGACTCAAATCATTAATACTGCATGAACAGTAAGAGCTTGCATTTTTGACAAAGCTCCTGAAGTGAATACATTTAAAACGACACAGCCTGATATTCCAACTAGCTGCTACCTTCAGGTTTGTAACAAAAATGTACAGTTTGTGAAAGAAGCTTGTTTTTGGTAAAAGTTAGCGGCATGCTAACACAGCAGAGACAAAACACCAATTCTTTTCTTTTTATAGCTTTACTTAAACGTTTCTCTATTTTTTTTTTTCTAAATACATTTCTCAACGCAAACAGAAGAGTTACTTTTATTCTAATCAAACGTGAACACAGGGATGTTAGCGGGCCAGTGGTGCACTAAGCTACAGCCCTGGAAACCTTGACTTCATTGTTCACTTACTATTAATTATGTTGTTGACTTCCTAAAGCTTATTGTTGCGCAATAAAAAGTTATTTTTATATTATGGTTAAATAAAAGAGTAGTTACCTTTGATTAAAATCTTATTTCCGCATTCAAGAACGTTGTGACTGATGCAACGTTTGCTGCAGTTATTAGTGCAAACACTTTCTGAATGAAGGAAAGAAATGAATGAAAGACTTTCTGTCAGTCCTCAACTTTGCTGTATATTTATGTAATTCAATAACAGATAAATCTACAGTGTCTGACAAACACTGATAAACGCCAGAGTTTGAAATCCATGCCCAGATCTCTGACTTGAAATGAACTCAGGTTTTTCTTTTATAAAACAAAGTAAATCTACAGAAAGCAAATATACATTCCAGCTGTTTGTTCCCGAGGGCCAGCTTTGTGATTATCCAGAATTTACTCGATGTAAAGTTAATTCTTCCCTTCTCTGAAGTCAAAACTGTTTACTGATGCTTCTTGCTGGTCGTACCCTCTGCATGAGGACTACCTTCCTTCCCAGAAATGCATGCATGGAAGGAGCATCATGGAAACTTGAGTGAGGCATTTACAAATATTTGCACTAAATGGATTTAACTGTGGGAAACAGACCACCATGTTCAATAACATTTTACTTAAAAGGACACATTTTCTTTAAAAATCTTCTTATCACATGCACCATCCTTCTGCTGCTCTCAGGTTCCTAAACACAACTAATAAAAGAGATCATTTACCTCCAGAAGACAAACTACCCCTTGTAAAATAAACCCGTCTTAAACGCATGCTTGTGCAGACACACACACACACACAGACACAAGTACAGACTGGAGTCCTGTCAGCTTGACAAGCAGTTTGTAGAGCGCCAGTGTGAATCAGTTTTGCAGCTTGTGTTCATGTTGCAGCCTGTATGATCATACAGCAGCGGTGAGCCGCTCTCAAACCCTCTATTGACGTAAAACCACTATGACACACACACACACACACACACACACTGTATGCTATTCATACATGCATGAGCTTTGAAGCGGCTTCTCTTCACAGAAGGCTACACTCTGTAATGAGTGTTTCTCTGGAGAGTCTGCATGTACTTATGTCTGATATTTAAAGAGGCTCGTGATATTTTGCTGATTTTAAACTTTTAGTCTATATTTAAATTTTTTAAGTCTACCAACTCACTCTATGAGGAGACTAAAAACCAAGCAAGGAGTATTTGAATACATCTGTGGTTAATCCTTGCACACCAACTAGGTTCAAAGAAAGGCAATCAGATATAAAGTTCAAATTTGCTATTTTAATGAGAAATAAGAACTTTTATTTATTTTATGGTTATTATTTCACACCAGTTTTGACCACATCTTGCAGCGATGATATTCAGAGTTATTGGGGGCTTAGCTAAGTGATGAGTACGTTCTCTTTAAACATATTGTGCTCTAGTGCTTCCTTTAAGTTTTTCCAAGACTCCACTGACTCAAATTCCAACTGTTTGTTCACAGGAGAGCACCAGGAGGTGTTTTGCTCACAGTGGCTGCAATTTAAAAAAAATACACTTTGTCATTAATGAAAGAATAGCTACCACGTTTGTGGATCTTTATGAATGGCTTCAGTCTGTTTACTGGCTCACATCTGTAAAAGTTTGCATTGTACATGCAAATAGCAAACACCAGCGCAGGAAAAAAAAATCCAACACAACAATTAAATACTGATTCAGAGACACACACACAAAAAACTTTTAAAAAATATATGAAATTACGCACCAACAAAGCAAAGACTCCAAACTGTCACCATCGAAGTTCACAACTTCACTGACATATTCCAAGAAATGGTACTCGTTTGATTCCAGTTGTGGTACAAAATCATGTGTGAAATAATAATTAAGAAATAAACAAGAGTGCTGATTTTCTTGTGAAATAAAATACAGAAAAAGATCAGTCATTTTCAGAAATCAGGGTCTAGTCTAGTGCACGTGCATTAGGACTTTATGATTCAAGTATTTAAGAAGGCTGCTTTGTAAGTACTTCGAGACGTAAAGATGTGACAAGTCTTGCCATTATTACCACAAAAACCTCATATTTTATTGCCTTTTTCATACAAATCTATCAAGAGTTACAGTAATAAAGTGTCTGACTTATAATGGACAGGATGATCAGCTTCACCCATGTTCAGTAAGACGTCTTGATCTCAGGGGGTGCTACTTTTCTGTTCACATTCTCCTAGAAAAGTCCTGCTCTTTATTATTAAAGCTTGTTCCATCCTGATGAACTTTGTTTTAGTATTTTTAAAGGTCTCCAGGCAGGTAGAACGTGTAAAGAGTATAACTTGGGAAACAAGAGCTTTCGTTAGAGGCACAGAGCAGAGAGGTCTGTGCAGGGAAACGTCCCCCAGATGCACACTGCACTCCCCCCGCTTCACACCCCCTCCACCTAAACACAGCCGTGGTTCACCAGACAACAAACCACGAACACAGTGCAGGAAAAAGTTCCCTCAAACTCAATGTGCAGCAAAAAAATAAACCACCGACGAGCTTCTGTTTCCCTTCAGAGTGGAGCCAAAGCTGCTGACCTGCTTGACCCTCCTTCCTCTGAGTTGTGTTAATAACTGAAGGCCTTCAGTCCAGTTCTTACCTTCATACCCAGAGCAGAACCAGAGCTGAGCAAACAGCAGCACCAGTGTCCACATGTCCATGATGTGGGAACGCTTCTTTCTAGTTTGTGGAAGGAAAACTTTCAGTGCATTCCTGCTTTCCAAAGGCCCGCCTCTCGATCCACAAACAGGGGAGGATTCTTCCAAAGCAGGCAGGCCGTCCACCGGTGTGATGGAGACAGAGGGACAGGAGGGGGGACCAGAGGACCAAAACCTGAGCTTTCAACAAGGAATATTATGGGATTCTTAGCAGGAAATACTTTTATTTGATATAGAAATGCATTCAAACAATTTATGGAAGCCTGTTTTTGGATGTAAATAAATATGACCTGATTCTTAGTAGTATTACATAATAACCAACTATTGTATTTTAGTCATAATTATCAGATGCTAAGCCCTAATTTTGAAACACTATTTCATAATTTATTTATTGATTAACCTTTGTTTAACCAGGCAAATCTCATTAAGATCACATATCTCTTCTGCAAGGGAGGCCTGGGCCTGAAGGCAGACTAACATGCATGTTTTTGAGCGCAGCTGACTGAAATCAGACTGCCTGCTTCAGACTGAATAAGAGTAACACACCGCTGAAGCCATGGAGCTCGAACGTCCAACGTAAAATTAACGTCACTGCGGTAGAGCAACGAGGCTCCAGCAGAGCATGCAGTTCAGAAACAATTTGAAATGAGGAAAAAAACTATTTATTAACTGATTAAGTCATGTTTTAGACTGCTTATTGCTAGCAAATCTATTCTGACCTAAAGTGCAGCCGACAGCCGCTCCCCTCTCTTCCAGGTACTGTGTACCGACACAGAATCTTTTAGTGATACGCAGTACCAGAACGCACTGGCTTACTTTCACACCTGGTTTCACCATTACGTTCTGTTGTCTGTATCGTTCTGTTGGTACAGAACCATGTGAGAGTGAAAGGAGGTGGGTGTGACAGCAGTAACAAAAACACAATGTAACAATGTATTTAGCAATGAGCCACATTATCTCTTGGATTTGAATCAGTACGTTTTGCTTCTAATAAAAACAAAGATGTTAACAAAATAAACTGGAACAATATTCTGGCAATTTAGTGATATTTCCACAGTTGTGGTCTTGACTGGTCTTGAAATAAAATCCGGAGTCCTCAATGTCCGAGACCAAGATAAGACCGAGACCAAATGAGGTCAAGTCCGAGAAAGACCAAGACCATCAAAAAGTGGTCTTGAGACCGGTCTCAAGACCAAGACTGATCTCGAGTACTACAACACTACTGCAAACCCACCCACACAGACCAGTACTTGCGGTTTGACTCCCATCACCTGCTGGAGCACAAGCTAGCATCAGGACTCTGTACCACAGAGCAGACAGCGTCTCCACTAACTCAGGAGCCAGGCAGAAGAGAAATCCCACACAAGACAGGCTCCATTGTGTATATCCTAACTGGGCCTTCCTGAAAGTAGAGAAGAAACCCAAACAGGACTCCAGCCAGCCATCAGGTGAACAATACAATAAAACAACCCATTTTAGTCCAAAACTTTTGTTTAATTTTGCAAATAAAGCTGTTTTATTTCATAAGCTAAACTTTTACATTAGTTAACAAAACTGTGAGATTTGAACAGAAAAAAGTTTTGTAAACTGTAGTTTGCAAAAAAAAAAAAAAGAATTGCAGCTTTTTTTTTATTTTTATTTATTCATTTTAAAATACAACACAAAAAAAAACAATAATGCAAACTAAGTTTATATAATATATAAATAAAATGAAGGGTAGCAGAAGGAAGAAAAAAATCTTATTTTATCTGCCCCCCTCTTACAATAATTCAAATCAAACAACAATCATCTGTAAGTACCTAAACAAACAAAAAAGAAAAAAAAGAACAATTCACTATAATTTTCGAACTATAATGCAACATACATAACAGTATTTCATATATATTTTTGCAGAAGTCCATTTTTAATTATTTTCTTAAAAGTAATCGTTGTTTTTGCATTTTTCACTTCAGTTTTCAAACCATTCCACAATCTAATTCCCTGGATTGAGGTTGACCGACCCTTCAAACTGGTTCTATATCTTGGTTTAACAAATATTTCCTTTAAAAGTTTTTATGTCAAATGTGTGTTTTTTTTATTTTTATTATTTTATTTCTTTTTTGTTTGATGGACAACGTGTGGCATGGAGGCTCTCACCATAGCTTGATACCTCATCATTCTAACAAATATAAAATAATTATTAAAATATCCTAAATTATAAATAAATATTTACGTAACTCATAATTATGAGACACTATTTTACATTATTAATGATAATAAGCGGGCAGCACGGTGGCGCAACTGGTAGAGCTGCTGCCTCTCAGTGAGCAGGTCCCTGGTTCAAACCCCGGTCCAGGGGCCTTTCTGGGTGGAGTTTGTATGTTCTCTCCGTGCATGCGTGGGTTTTCTCCGGGTGCTCCAGTTTCCTCCCACAGTCCAAAAAACATGCATGTTAGACTGATTGGTAACTCTAAATTGTCCCTAGGTGTGAATGAGAGAGTGAATGGTTGTTTGTCTCATTTGTCTCTATGTGTCCCTGTGATGGACTTGCGGCCCGTCCAGGGTGTACCCCGCCCCTCGCACAGTGATTGCTGGACATGGGCACCAGCGACCCCCGTGACCCAAAATGGAATAAGCGGGTAAAGATGATGGATGGATGGATGGATGGATAATGGATGGATGGATGATAATAAGCATGATGGAGAACATTTTTAAATCACAAAAGCAAAAATTTGCCTTTTTTTCCCAATAAAAAGATACATATCTTTTGGATGTTGTTCCTGACGCAAGCTGAACTCAAGCTGGCAGCGCCACAAATACAAGGCTACGGCACCTAACCACTGAGCTGCTGAGCCTGGTTTTTTTCCCCACGTTATATTTCTTTTCATTTTATTTTCATTTAGATTTGTTCTGTCTGTTCAGAAGCTCCAACACATCATGACTCTTGTTAACAGTGAACACAAACTGCTTTTTAAAAATCATAATTAAGAAATATTAAGGAAACCTTATTCTGTATCTCACATTTCAGCTATTTTACTTCGCTTTATAAATCATACAAAAAAAAAAACTAATTATCGGTAATCAAAGCCTCTACTAATGTGTCTCTTTCAAGGTTTTTAAATAACTCTTTTCAAAAGGAAAAAAAAAACTGAGCAAAGACTGCCTCAGAAAAGAGAACATTACTGCTTAGAGCAAAAACACAGTTCATTCAGTTCAGTTTATTTATATAGCACCAAGTCACAATGGAAGTCATCTCAGGGCACTGTACAAAAACATTCACATACATTATAAA